GCCGGCAAGGTTGACCACTGAGAACCCAGAGATAGGTAGCCATCAGCATGCAGACGATCAAACTAAACCGTCGGTGAGTCATACAGCGAAGACGGGAACACCCGTTTCACGTACTTGGGGCGGTGCACCGGACAATTGCGATGGATTTACTAAAGCAGAGCGCACCGACCAACGAGGTCCTTCGATGGTAACATCAACCGGCACCGGTTGATCCCCAGATAGAGAGAGCATGAATAAGAAGTTGATGTCCCATAATTGTCGTGCGCCAAATTCTAATGCCTGGAAAATACAGGTTTAGTGTACTACTCTGGGGTCGCGCGGGTGAATGCCTACCATTTCAATAAAACCTGTAGCAGGCATGATGGGCTCGCCTTGGATCACATGTTGAGCCAGGTAAGGGTGCGTCTGCGAGTTGATACGAAGCGGAGAGTAATTCAACGGCCCGTTGCGAGGCTGACGAATTCTCTGCATGGAAGAAGAATTTGGGTACAAGAAGAGCTTCTTGCGGGAAAAGGGGTAGGCGGGTAGTTTTGGGACGTCTGCTGCGGTGCATCCATTGAGGACATTGAAGTCGATACAGCAATGTCCAGCAACCGCCAGCTTCCCCAATGCTTCGAGAAAAGAAACCACTTCCCCTTGATTGCCCTTGGGTCTCCGCAGAGGACAGACAACAGTGGCTGTCTCGCCCCCGAGAGTGACCAGATAACCAGCGAGAGCTGGGTGAGGGCCTATTTCCAAAAAGCTCGGAGTACCGATGTCGTGAATCATACGCTGGATTGCTCCTGTGAACTGCACTGGGCCACGCGTGGTGGACCAGTAATATTCTGCGCTGAATCGGTCGTGTTTCAGCATGCCGCGTTCGGTGGAATATGTTGGGATTTTAGGAGGCTGCGAGGGATAGCGATCGAATATGTCTGTCACTAGGCGCAGAAACTCGTCGCGACAAGCGTCCATCAGTTTGGAATGCACAGGAATGGTAGTATTTAATCGCTTGGCCAAAAATCCTGCAGCCTTCGCGCGTTTCACTGCGAGGTCGATATCGGCAGATGATCCCGACAGAGTGATGGCGTCAGGAGTATTATAGCAGGCAAGATCCAAAATGACATTCCCCCGCTCGGCGCACACCTCAGATATAACTTTCTGGGCCTGTTCGGGGGAGCATGCAACTGCCGCCATCGCGCCTTCGACGATTGACATAGCCCGTCCGCGCGCAATTGCAAGCTCCACAGCCATAGCTTTGGAACCTGACCCAGATGCATATAGCAACGCGGTCTCTCCTGCAGAGTGACCCACGATCGCAGCAGGCTTCATCCCCAGACTCACAAGAGCGTCGAAGGTCGCTATCTGAAGCATGGTAAGAGCAGGAAGTGTCAATGAAATAGGCCAGACGTCCCCGAGTGCTTCTGCACAAGGAGCGTATTGAGTGAAAAGACCAGTCCGTGCGATGAGCGAAAATCCAGTTGTACGCTTGTGCACTTCGTCCATTTCAAGAATGCTCCTATTGAAGACAGTGCAGGAGCTGAAGAACTCTCTGCCCACTGACGAAAATCAGCATCAATTCATGAAACACTTGGGATCATGTCTCACTCTCAAAGTGCTGAGGACCTTGTCCCGAAAACACAAACACGAGCGGGGGAGTGCGGGGAGCGAGCACCGGCTCAGTGAAACGAGGGGGAGAATTTGACGAAGTGACCGCATAAGAACGCCAAGGCGTGGACCTGGATCGACGTCCGAAGGTCGCTGCTACAGAAGATAATGTTTCGCTGTCCATGGCTTGTATAGATTCTCCTATGGCTACTGTTGAACGAGGAGAAAGGCCGCCCGCTACCAAAAGACAAGGTGCACCAATGACATCCGACCGCCAGAACGGCGTTACAGGCTTGGCTGTAGGAGGACCCTCGACAACACAGTGACCATTGGCACCGCCAATACCGGAGCTCGCTAACGAGATCAGCGAGCGTCCAGTAGTAGATTGACAAGGTAACGAGGTTGGCGATGAAGCGACGCGAAGATGGAAGTCTTCCCAATGAATGGCCGGATTAGGGTCGATCAAATTGACGTTGGGAGGGATGATTCCTGATTGAAACATGGAACAAACCTTGCAGAGTGACGCAAGAAATGCAGTAATCTCGAGGTGACTAGGTAGAAGGACAATGAGACCACGCTTATTATCGTAATTCTAACAACATACCCTATGTTTCCTTTTACGCTTCCTATAAGGAGCTCCTCGTTGTTAACTTTCAGGAAGCTCTCTCCAACCCAGTTCGCTTCCGTTGGATCCCCGGAAGCAGTCCCTAAAGTTATACACATTTAACAAAATTGACGGCCAATGAAGCTCGACAAACTTGCCTGTGGCATGAAGCTCGACGAAATCGACTTCGTGTGGTTGACGGCCGGCTTGCTTGAAGGCTCTCAGCATTGCATCCCTTTGAGCATATGCTACAGGGGAGTTTGCAGGAGCCAGTGAACCGGACGAATTGATGCCAGTGCCCAGAGCCTGTGAAAAATGAGATCGGCATATGTATCCGATCCGGATAAGAGCGCACAGTAGCGTAGATGTGGTCGTGGTCGAGGAGGGCCTGGTCCAGTGGTTTGAGGACGACAACAACGGCGCCCTCTCCCCGAGAAAATCTTGAAATGATTCTCAATTAACGTGTCGTGCAGACTCAAAAGCCGCCTCACCCATTAGCAGAAGAGTCGAAGGGTTTGCATTTACCGTCAGGTGCTAAAATCCCAGCTTGACTGTACGCCAGCCAATCCACAAACCTGGTAGATTAAGGCATTTCAACCTTCAATTTTCTGAAACGCTGCTGAATAGGAATCCTTGCCTGTGATTCAGCTGACAACCACCCACAAGTGCCGCTTCGCACTCCCCATTGCGTATGGCTTGAATGGCGAGATGAAAGGCCGAAAGACTAGAGCTGCAAGCAGTATCGGTGGGGATGGATGGTCCGCGTAGGTCCAGATGGTATGACACACGATTGGCGATCATTGCAAGCGAATATGCCAATGAACCGCGAGCTTCGGTTTCATCCTAAGATACTAGGAGTGAGTCAGCGAGACACAAGACAGGTGTCACCAACCTCTCCAGAAATCATCCAGGCGTCATGGGCGACACCCGCCATGTAAGTGCCGATGTTCTTTCCTCGATAATCAATTCCAGAGTCCAACAAGGCAAGGAACGACAGCTCAATGAGCTTTCGCGTTCCAATTGTCATCATCCTGGCATCTTTGCTGCTGATTCCGAATTCGATAGGATCGAATAAATCCAAATCTTTCAAAAATGCACCATGTGTGGCAGCCACTTCACCGATATTCACTCCCTTAAGACTGAGCACGCTGTCAATAAGTGACGGGTGGCATGTTTTAAGCGAGACAGACGCACGCATCTATGTTGAACCTATCCTCTGGAATTTTCTCGTAGGCTTGGTGCTCGTTCATGAGGAAGTCGAAAAACGATTGATAGTCAAGGTTGCTTGTTCCATGAGGACCACTTGGGAGCTCTGCAGAAATGCCGACCTAGATGGATGAACCACATCAGCCCAGTACCCAATTAGTCGGACGCGAGTTTACCAGTGCGACAGGGAAGTATTCATGCGCAGATATCATGGTATTTCATGTAGAGATGGGTCATGTTGAACTATGAGTACCTTTTCAACATACGCCAATCACTTGGAGGCCCGGACGGTCTTCCGTCCTTGGGAAATTCCGGTGGTTTCATTTCGAAATTCCAGACAGGACTTTGATTCGGAGAACTCTGGCAATCCTAGAACAGGGAGTATTTCGTCGCTTCTATTTCAAGGTAAGAAAGTATTCGTAGCAATGTCACATGCACATGATACTATTCTCTGCCTCTAGTAGTCCATTGGTCGTCAATGATTAAGGTTTGGTGCGGCGGCATTGGTGACGCAGCGAGTGACGCAGCATGGGTGGGGTTTGACGTGCCGTTGACGATGCATGAATGGGGTTTGACGCGACATGGATAAGGCTTGGTGACGCAGCGGGGATGATGTTTAAACCTGCTGCCCAACGCACGAATAATCTAATATCCAGTGGAGTCGGACCATTATCAGAGTCGACAGAAACAGCACAGGCAGCGATGTGGACGTACTACAACTTGCGCTAGTAGTAGACGTGTTTCAAACGCGTTCTGAAATTTGAAGTGCCGCGAGTACTTGATAGGGCGAATTAGTACTTTGTCTGACACTGCACCCGTGTCAACCCAGCCCATGGGACAACATCATCATGGGTTGAACGTTAACGTTTTAACGTTCATCCCCGGGTTCCGCCGTCACTGCAGACCCGCAACTCATAAAACAGTAATTTATGGCCCAATCGACGTGTCCCTCCCCATAATCCGGCGCCCATTATCTTTGGCGTCTCAGTAACTCACTCCACTGCTCGTGTACTCGCAATCAAGGTCAACAGTAGTCATGTAGACGACCTCCTTTACTGTTTTATTGATGGGTGGCGACAATACGCGATGCATGTGAGCTCTTTCTCTCGTCGTTACATCCCTAACCCTAACAGTACTACTAGGGTAGCCGACTATGGATCACCTACCAATGCTCTGAGACGACCCGTTCGGAGTCCCCGGATTTACTGCATACTGTATCATACCACCTTAAACCCATCTCACATCAGCATCTATCGACATCCAATCACCCCACAGTTCGCTTGTGGCACCTCCCCACAGGCGCAGAAGTCGCGCAATTTGACCACTCAACTGTGGTGACACGTGTTACGTTCTCGGTAGACAGACATTTTGTACGCAACTCAAGTACATATTGCTATGATTCGCCAGCATTAGGGCTTTGAATTAGATACCATCATTGACGAGTGGACGGTATGGGTTCGTAACTTGAACCAGCACTCAGTTCGACGCCAGTTCCCCCAGATGACCCAAAAGCATTTGGTCTCGCGCGGTTTTAGCCAATGAGCACTGCATGCAATGAACAAGAAGAACTGATAATCTACTGATAATTTAAATTCACACTATTCGACATGCTTAAGACCATATATATAACACATAAAACACCCCTGTTGTGTTGGGCACAAAGTGCACTTGCGTCTTTCATCTTCCGCTTGCTTAATCTGCACCAACGTTATCTACTTGAAGTTGTCTCCTCTTGTGCGGAGAGTGATGCCATGGACATCGTGCTGAAGGGGAACTGTGTCCCGACGATGCTCGAGAAGATTGCGGGAGATTCGAATGTCTGTCCGGGATCGATGGTTTCCTTCCAGCAAACACGATATGCCAAGGTGATGATCACCAGGACGTTGCAGATGACGAGACTAAGGGCGGCCTAATTTCCATCGGATGTTTGCAAAGGTATGTGGGTATGGGTATTTGTGCTTACCTTGACGTGTGCAATAATGAGCGTAGCTTCTGTGGTGGACTGGAAGAGCATTATCGAGTGAGGGATTGCGATGACAGTGATTAGAAGTGATGCGCCGAATGAGGCGAGGATCAATATTTTCCCGTTACGCGAGAGCCCTACATTTTTCCATAACTGCACCGGTACGACAATGAGGGAAACATCCGCGATTACGTCCGCTGCAGGAACCCATAACTTGAGGATCATAACATGCATACAAAACAGAAAGGGGTACTGACTGATCATTTGCGAGACCGCTACCGACTGGGTCATCTGGCACGCGTAGATGCACGTCTTGACCTTCTGTACAAGCATCGCAGCCCACATGCACGCGAAGGACACTGCGATGAAATAGGTGATCCACTTATGAATCTTGGAACATGAGGGGTGGGCAATTCGGATGATGGAAAAAATGATGCTCATGCGTGCAGCCCTGAACTAGTGAATTAGAGATGGAACTGAGTGAGCTTTGATACGCACCACACGACGGAGGCAAAGACCACTCCGAAGGTCCAGGCCGGAACTGATTTGAATGTAAAGTAAATCTTGGAGTGCGAAGCCAAGGACTCTGAAACTCACAATGTACGGGGGTATGGATCCAGATCCACATCAGGCAAACAGCTAAGGGATACAGTGGTTGGTTACGGAGTAAGGTAGCAAGCAAGGAGATCTCTACTGTCTGAGATGAGTGCCAATGCAGCCCACGCATCTTCCCACCATAAGTGACGCGTCCAAGCTCTGTAAACAAGCCTGAAGATGGTGCAGAGTATAGCAATCCCATGTGATACCGACCCCGCAACTTCCCAAAGGGTGGTTAACAAAAGTGTATAATATACTGGCTACCTTCCACTTACCTGCTAGTCGAAGGAAGTAGGATGTCATTATCAGATAACAAGGAAGGGTGATCTCTACATTCAAATGGTAAAGATCAGCTATATACGCGCTGCAGGAAAGCCCTTTGTGTATGTCTCCTAGATTATCTGATTATATTAGGTATCATGCTCTTGGAAGCGACGACAACCTGCAGGGCCGACTGACAGAGTCTTACAAATGTTGGTGCCTGTTGGGACCATATGTCAGTGATGCCACCCAGTTCGGATCAGGAAGCCAATGTACAGCAGAACGCACTCACATGACAGCCTTGAGACATAATAGCATTGAATGCTGAACCAGTGTGGATCATAATTGCAGACGAAGACAGGATCCTCGGTGATACATAAGCTACTCGGGCTATGCATAATTGCTAATTATCAAACCATCTTTAATGATGATCGGATCCCCCTCCTCATGCAAAGGGTCGAGTGACAAAAGGTGACAAGCTGAGCCCCACTCGCGAGAGTAGAATTGCTGAGGGTGTCTGATTCTGAACCTACCCTTCGGAAGACTGAGGCGCGCAAGGTACGCGTGGAACAACTTAAAAATGATGACATTGATTACGAAAAATGAACGTTAACCGTGACTGCTTGGTGACTGCTACAAACAACGCGTCAACAAAGGACTCCATCGAATTGCAATCGTGCAGCACGTTGAACTTGGATGTGCAGAACACGCTCGCATGGGGGATATCATGGCCAAGAATGTCAGCTCCCTCGAGAACGAGGTATGCATCTACAAAGTGAGTCTCTTCATCAATGAACAATAGGTGGCAGACATTTACAGTCTCCGTTGTCTTGCCAAGGCCGGCGTTTTCATCTAAATCGTGAAACTCTGTGACCCTAAGTATAGATAGATTCGCCGACAGGTCGTATCAAAACTATAGAAGATTGTTCAACCCTGGCATGTCGGTGTAAACTGAGTCGGACGTGGGAAGCATGTACGTTGTATTGCACGTTACAACTTGAATGCGTGCGCCAGTATGTATCTAACAACACTTGATACCTTGTAGGCTTGTAGCAAGGCTAATACAATGTTGATGCGGCTGCCGGTTGAATCTAGATGAATTACACAGCAATGCATCTCGGGTACAAACCATCAGTTTAATGACAGGTGTTGCCTGCTTTCTCGCTTATGCCTTCGTTACCTTCCCGCTGGGCATGCCGAACATGACAGCTGCCAGATCTGCAGAACCAGTTCAGCACGAAAGACACCTCTTGTACTACACCAGGATCCTCTCAACATGCGGACAGCACGGGAATGATGAAATGGAGAGTGAATAAGATCGTGAGTCTGTGAAATGGAATGCAGGTGGATCAGCGCTGAGGGGCAGTCCTTGAAGACCATAGGTACGTAATTCCGAGACTTAGAAGGTCGCTATGCCAACTCTGGATTTGCTTTGGACATCCAGGGGACCGAACCGTCATTTCATGGGTCACTAGCACTGGGCAGTGGCGAAGTGAATCCTAGTGAACCCCCCAGAGGCTCATGCGTTGTGCTTGTACTAATTCCGCACAATTTTCTCCGTCCGCCCCGTCGCTACAACATTCAAACATGGGACTTGAGAGTCTTCCCCAACTCAACAGCCACGCCAACGTTCACAATGTATTGAGTATGTTGCTCACTTGGACTTCCAATGGTACTCGGCTCCTCTTAACAAGCAGCGAAGGTGGTCCTGCCATCCGCTCTTGGGATATCTCTAATTGCAAAAAGGCTATGGTCCATGGACCGATCGCAACGAAAAGGAGGATATCAGTCAACTCATCTTGAACCTTGGCATCGCCGTAGCAGTCGGGATGAGTGCATTGTGCGATGTTCTTGGTGGATGCATGACTTATATCCGGTGGCGGGAGGACAATCTCGCAGTGGATGATACCGCTGCGCGGTGATCCTCTCACTTGCTAGTTTACTCCTAGTCCGATAAACTCGTGTGCACTGGTCCTTTACGGGGCAAACGGAAGGTCCATTTCTACCCAGATATTCGATGTATACTTTCACTGAGTCTTCACCAGAATTGCCTACGTGATGTGGGTTGTTTCATGGCCAGCAGACCATTTCCCCCGTCAGATACTTACCCTTGGTCGGAGATCTGCAATATCTCGAAGGTGGTGAACTAGGAGCACATCGACAGGTCCCGTGACTATGTGGGTCCCCTCACTCCGCAATGAGGTGTAATAATGCATTTTGGCTTCTGCGTCTAGACGCCACAGGGCATTCCAGCCAACACCCTGAATCTAACCACACATAATATGAGCCGGAAAATGATGGCACTGCATGAAGAGGAAGCCAAAGTAGAAGAAAGGTATGAAATTCAACCAACTCAGACGTTGTCGAATTGCGGAACTTGATATGAATGGTGCAAAAAACTTGAAAATATAGCAAAACACAAAGTTGGAAATTTCAGGGTGATCAAGCAGGTGTCTTGGCCGGCACAATCATTCAAGCTGGCACAGTAAATCGTGCACCGCGTGAAGTGACCAACTGGCCGAGTATCCGGGAAACAGACGCTCTCCATAGCATGCACGCCTGCAGGCACGCTACCGCATTATTTCCCATGGAAGCAAGCACCCATCTTTTTTCCGGTTCCCTCGCCAGCGTCGCCTGGATTGTTTATGTAGATCGACAATACAATGCTTCTCTTAGTAAGCTTCATTCGATACGTTGCTGATGATATTGACTCGCTGGCTCTGAAACCACTGTTTGAGTTACATTCGAAACGAGTTACTCATGCCATGCCAGCCTGCGGCGTTTCCTTACACTTACAAAAGGAGACAAGCTAGGGCTCAGATCTAGGAGTGCTCAGAACCCCCCGGGCACTGCTTGGTTGACGGGCCGATCAAATCCGTTCTTCGGCCCAAGCCACGCATTTTCCCGGTCCCTGAGCATTGAGTAGCCAGCGCGTGACCCCAAAGCTCATTCGAACGTTCGAGCCAGTTTTATCTTGCCCTCGGCACCGTGCTTTTCATATCGGCCTGATCTATCTTCTCTGCGCAGATCCGGTCGCAGGTACATCACCACGTTTCCACTGCAAGCCCAAGAGAATATCAACTGGGAGGTCCCAATGGACGATCACACCACTAGTGACTCAGTGACTACTCGAGCTTTCTTGTCCCATGGTTCCGGAAGAATGAAAAACCTAAACTACCCGAGCCTAGTATGCGACGACAAAAACGACAAACTTAGGATTGATAGGATGAGGTCATTTCTCGATGTGATCATTACCGGTACGTTTGACAGGCAGCTGATGGCCGAGAGAGGATTGGAAGCATATCTCGTATCATTTCACATCAATTTCACACAGGCAAGAACTGCGCTTGATGGGTCTCAAGTTTTCCGACCCTAATGTGGGGAGTCCCGCTCACGAGCAGGCGTCGAAAAAGGCTCAGCAGTCGCAAATTGGAAGCTGTCACTGGCCTGTGCATCGTTATGGCATGCATAGTATGGTGTAATTCATGCCAGACGGACAGAAAACTCCCATCGTCAGTTGAGATGACCCACTTGCGGTTACACTCCGCGGACCGCAGTACGAGTTAACGGGTGAATATCCATGCTAACATTTCAATATCATGATTTACCACTTATTGGTTACAGTCATCAGCCAAGCAACGAATTTTCAGTATTCACTGCCCATGTCCGAACCGCCTATATCTGGAGATCCTACATCGCAGAGAATCGATGAGGTACAGAAACTCCAGCCATACCCTCTGGAGCCATGTTGCTAACCAATGCTGTTAGCTCCTGCAGCGAGCCCACGAGCTTTATACGAAAGCTCTGCAAGGAAACCCCTCAGATCTAGACTTCGCCATCGCACACTACCGTGGAGCGCTGGGCGTAATCTGGAATCTGTCTTCCGATGCACATAGCCAATTACTGGGCGATTTCGCAAATGTCCTGGTCATGCGCTTTCAGCAGCAGGGCAGTCGTGCAGATCTTGCTTGTGCCATGGAATGTCACCTTGCAGGATTGGCTCTTCGCCCAATTGGACATCCAATGCGAATGATCACCCTTATGGACTTTGCCACAGCTCTTCTTATTCGTTTCAAAGAAGACAGCACGCTCAGTGACATCCACCTTGCCATTGATAATTTCGCTGCTGCACTATCTCTTTGTCCCTTCGAGCACCCGGCCAGGTGTGCACTCATCATGAAATCCGCCAATGCTTTCCTTTCGCGATTCGAGAATTGCGGAGATGCCGAGGATTTAGAGCGTGCAATTGAGCAGTATCAGTCGGTCGTCGAATTATCACCTCCTCGCGAACGCTTGGCTCCCCTTAGTAACCTTGCCAACGCCCTTCAGTCCCGCTTCCATCGGTTTCATGAGCTAAACGACCTCCAATTGTCCATTCAACATTCTTGCGCCGCGCTTCATCTCCTTCCAACATACCACCCTGCCCGACCACAGATTCTCCGCACACTAGCAGGTGGTTTTTTCGAGCGTTTTCATCAGAAAGGAGACACTGTCGATCTTGAGACAGCCAGAAGGTACTGTCAGGCTTTACTCGACCTGTGTTCTCAAGAGCATCCCTACCATACTCTTGCACTCAACAATCTCGCCGATATTTTGCTCGCACGTTTCCAACATCAGGGTGATCCAATCGACCTTGATCTCGCCATTGGCCACTATCGGACTGCTTGCATTCATTCGGAAGGACAGCCTGATCAAGGAATGCATCTTGATCACCTAGGCAATGCGCAGTTACTCCAGTTTCGTCAATGTGGTGACATGGCTGATTTGCACCGCGCAATCGAGAACCATACTCTAGCTCTCGAGCTACATCCTCTGGGCCACCAGTGTCGACCAGCTACATTGGCAGCCCTGGCGAGCTGCCTTGATGTTCGTTTCGAGCAACAAGGAGAGCTAGCAGATCTCAAAACAGCCCTCAATTGCTACAACGACGCATTGACGTTATGCCCAGAAAACCACCGTCGACGGCCTGTCATACTGAATAATATCGCTGCTGCCTTGGAGATGTACTTCAGGCAGTATAACGATCTCAACGACCTCAACCGCTGTATCGCATATTATCGGGAAGCTCTTGATCTGTACCCCACAACCCATGTTGACCGGCCAGTTACCTTGACCGGCCTGGCTTGTGCGCTGTTGAGCAGGTTTGAGCTCCTCGGAAATGAATTTGATATTGACCAGGCCTTACTTCACTGCACCGTAGCACTGGATGCTCGGTCGCTAGGACATCCAGCAAGACCAGCTTCTTTGCTAACTATGGCAAAGATTCTTCGGTCTCGGTTCTTGCCCTGGGATGACCCCAAAAAGCTCGATGCCGTCTTCGAGCACCTTCGCGCAGCTAAAGATGCCTGTCAACCAGGGCATTCGCTGCTTCTCGACATCCACGCGGAGTTATCCATGATACATTTTCTTCGTTATCTCGTGTTGCAGCATTCCATGGATCTTAAAGAGGCCTTTGGCTATCACGAGCTGAGCATGGCTTTCGGTTCTGGAGGGATATGGGTTGCGTTCCGCGCATCGCTGTATTGGGTCCAGAGCGCCGAGATGTTCAGGCATGCTTCTGCCGTCGATGCATACCGAACAGCCTTGCGTCTTCTAGACCGTTGCGTTATAGTTGCGAAGGCTCCAGAGCTCCGACGGGAGCTAACACGACGGCACGCCGAGCTGATGCTAGATGCATTCTCTGCGGCAATCCGTCACAAACAACCTGACCTAGCAGTCGAGATGCTAGAACAAGGACGTCTGCTGCTCTGGACCCAGCTGGCTCTCCATCGGAGCATTCTAGATGATCTCAGAAGCTGCGGCGAGCAGGGTGCTCGTCTTGCAGACAATTTTGAGCAGCTCAATCACCGACTAGAGCGCGGCCAACAGCACCACAGAGAGGTACAGAAACAACGGGATGCGGTGATCACGCAAATCCGGCGCCTGGATGGCTTCAGCCATTTCCTCATGCATCCGTCCTATGCTGACATTCAGAAGGCGGCTCGTGATGGTCCAGTCATCGTGGTTAACGCTAGCCAGTACCTGTGTAACGCCATCATCATATTTACCACTGGACAACCAGCTCTCGTTCCCCTTCCAAAGATCACCCTAGCAGATGTTGCTCGTTTGGCCTCTCTTTTTCACGATATCGTACGATATTCTGGTGATCCCGACCCTGGTCGTGACAGGGAGAGACGGCTGATTAATTTGCTCACGGAGTTATGGGATCTGGTGGTCAGTCCAGTGGTTGACCGTCTTCTGCCACACACGCCAAAGGGTTCGCGGATATGGTGGTGCCCGACTGGCAAGTTTGCAGCCTTGCCACTTCATGCTGCAGGTCTGCACCATGGTATCGAGTTGAACCTCTCCCAGCTATACATATCTTCATACGCCCCGACTTTATTGTCTCTCATCAAAAGCAGAAGAACCAAAAGTAGCAACACACCGCGCCGGTCGTCATTCGTTCCTTCCTTGACCAATTTTCTCAAAGGCCGAAAAGGCAAATCTTCGAGACCTTCCACTCCAATTCTCACGTCATCTACATTCGCTGCTATTTGCAGTGATGAAAAGACGGAGGACATCGACATGCTCCGCAAAGTGCTTCCTTTGACGTGCACCATGACGCGCATCACGGGTGCCAACGCAACGTACGAACATGCCATTCGTGCCATTCGCGAACAACCATGGATTCACTTTGCCTCGAGAGCAGAGCCCAACTTCGACCTTCCATTCGAGTCGCATTTTCCCTTACATGACAAGCCGATGTCCTTGTTGGAGATAGCACAGACATTGGCGGAAGTGGAGCGGCCGCCTGAATTCGCGTTTTTATCTGTGAGCCACGGGTCCAGTGGAACGGAGAGACATGAGACCATGCACTTTCCCCATGCTCTTCATTTGGCAGGATTTCAAAGCGTTGTTGGCACGATGTGGGCTGTGGATGAAGAGGTCACGCGGCGGATAGCGTCGGCATTCTATCACTCTGTGGTTGTGGAGTCAAGAGGCGCGGTAAATTGTACCAACGCGGCAAAAGCTTTGAGCCAAGCCCTAAAGATGGTGGAAGAAGGGATACCATTAGAGCAAAGGATTGCGTTCGTCCATGTCGGTGTCTAAATGCGTCGTAATGAAGAGTAAAATTGTTTGAATCCTCGATCTCGAGATCCCCGTATGGCTTCGCTTTAGTAGGATTCCTCGAAGTAACGAACTGTACCAAGCTCGTATCGGCCTGGCCAAACGAATAGCAAGCTCCTAGTTCCATCGATAAGAAACCAATGGAACGTGTAGATCTAGGTTTACGGCACAAAAGACGTTGAAAGAACTCATGGCATGCGTCAAAGACAGATGTGCACGGGGAAGACGAGCTTACGATATCGACATTTGTGATGTGCACCGATGTCCATATGCATACAAGTGGGAAAAACCTATGTATGAGGTCCTATCAATTGATCATTAGTATCATACAAGAACAGCTGCCAGTGCCACAATCATGATGGAAGGGAGGCTGTGCAGCTTTGTTTGGCAAATCCTTTAGATCCAAACAACCGCTTTGTACTCTCAAGGTCAATGTACTAAGTAAAGTTGCCCGTTGGGTGTTTCAGGAGTAGAACAAGTGCACATGCAATGCTGAAGATAGGTGAACCGATACTCATGGGACAGAATGTAGTTACAAAGCCAGCTAAACACATGCGAGAGAAAATACTGATGTGGCAGAATGAGTTTCATAGCCAACGCGAGAAACAAAGTTTCAAAACGAAGGGAGGGTACAACTTAGTACTACGCACAGCAAGAAAATCCATACAACACTAAAAACCATTGTGGTAGCGTCCACAGGGATAACACATCCATACCAGAAACCTGTTGAAGGAGCCTTCAATGGTCGTGTGTGAATCTGAGTCGTGATTGGTGTGGTAGTTAGTCACGAAATACGACGGGGACGTGTGCGATGATGAAGCTCCAATGGCTTGCGAAGATTGAACTACATTGACGGCCACGATGTGCGATGGGGATGCGTGTGATGATGGACCTCCGGTAGCTTGCGAAGATTGGGCACCGCTGCCGACCACGGCATGCGATGACGGCCCTGCCTGTACGGTGACTACTTGCGACGATGATCCCGGCTGTGACGAGCTGGCACCTACGGGGGGAGCATCGCCCGTCACTGCCAATGGCTTTGTCTTGCAAACCCGCGGCATTGCGACATATCTCTGGGCGTTCCGTCTCTAATAAGAATAAAAATTTACAGAAGATGAAACTGAAGCTGACCTGAAACCCGCGCACAGCATATACCTCAACGACCTTGGGACGTTTCGTTGCTGGAGCAATGTTGGCGTCGGAGGGGTCCTTCCCTCGAGCATGGATCATACTTTTCCAGAGGTTTCGATTGTCTTTGCTATCGAGGTTGTCGGGGTGACTTAAATCATCAGACGGTGGGCTCTGCGCGTCCGTGGGGGTTTCGTCTCGCTGTTTGCCTTTATCCTTTTTGGCGCTAAGAGGATCATTCGTGGAACCGCGCTGAAAGCCGTCGTGTTGAGGTGACATTGTTGGAGAGCCGAAACACTACTTACATTATTGTCACATTGCTCGCCCTTTTCTTCTCCCGCTTTCCATTCTGGCTCTGGTTGGTTGGCTTTCATAGTTGTGAGCTCCAGGGATGACTTTGAGCGACGAGCGAAGAACTTGCGCTTCGAGCGTTCTTTTGGCACAGACTCATCTGCCGGTGGGTGAAGGCGAGAGAAGATCTTGAATAAGCGGCGAGCGGAAAAGAGGTGGAGGAGACGGGAGTCAGGCGTCGCCGACGGAAGAGATTGACGCGAAGACTACAATTACATGTTGTCAGTACTATGCAGTTGCATGAGAAACACAAGTTTTACCTGAAAGAAGTTGTTGTATGGATCATCGCGCCTCTCGTCAATGATACCATCATCCCCAGTAGCATCGGCCTACAACAGCACTGTGAGCAAGGAAGACAGGCGGTCAAATGTGAAAGTACTAACGTCGAGGCATGATGATGGGGAGTTGGACCGAGTTTCCTGCTGTATGCTTCGTTCGTCACTTTGTTGAGGGAGTAGCTGAGGTGCTATATCTTTGACAGACCAAAGAGTGAGTTTTTGGTTGTGTCCAGCACATGCTAGATGGTGCCCGTCTGGAGAGAACGACACATGGTGAAGTGTGTCATCCTGGCTGAATGGCTTGCCGGGTGGCTGGGGGGACTCTGTGTCCCATAGTTTGGCAACACCGTCAAAACCCACGCATGCCAATACGTTGTGTTTGGGTGAAAGTGCGACAGAATACAAAACATGGTCGTGCTCGATGGAATGTAGTAGTGTCCCTGATTTGCTGTTGAAAACACGAACAAATTGGTCGGATGCAGAGTAAAGTTTTGTGTTGTCCGACGACCACACCAAGGACGTCACATTGTAATCTCCCAGGTCTTTGATGGGGTCGACAACGAGCTTGCCGGTCTTCGTGTCCCAGATACAAATCGATTTGTCCCCACCTGATGCAATTCTGTCACCCAAAGGTGAATATGCAAGATTCCACACATGAGTTAGCACCGTCTTGATCGGGCCCACTACAACTGTTCCGTTTTCTGCGTTTCGAATCAGAATTGTTCCATCGTCGGATCCGCTTGCAAGATGGTTCCCGCGGGGAGACCACGAAAGGGACCGGACCGTGTCGCTATGACCCGCCCAAACGCCTGCGATCATCTCCCCGTCGGTATTCCACCGCTGAACGCTACCGTCAACCCTCCCACACGCAATCATGTTCCCATCCGGTGAAAGCGCCAGTGCATATATATTTCCACCCTCGCCCTTCCACGGCTTTCCGACCAGAAGTCCTGTGTCGCAGTTCCACTTCCGCATCGTGCCGCCCTGAGAATCGCTCACAATCTGGACGTTGTCGTGCAAGAAGACGAAATAATAAATCGGCGTGTCCTTGTGTCCTTCAAACGTTTGCTTTGGAGTTGGTCTTTTGGATTGTTTTGTGGCAGAAGCTTCCCCGATGGTGGGCTTTACGAAGGATTCAGAAGTCATAGCTCGTTACCGCAATCTGATAGAACAGTCTGACTCTCCTGCGGTCGGTGATCAATTATGGGGATGAACAAGTCGATCAGCACTCACTGGTTGGTCTGCTGGTCTGTTGTTTGGGGGCAAGTTGGCAAGATAGGCGAATTAATATGTCCTGTAGGCGAAAGGCATGCATTCCACGAGGCGGCGCTAATCGTCCATTCACAGGTTTATGCCGCAATACAGCATTTTGGCTGGTTTAATCTTTGCAAACCACGATCCCCACTATACACTTTACCCAATTCTAATCACTCCAGTATCGTGAACTACGCTTCGGTGTATATTCGAGGCAACACAACGACCGTTCAGCAACATAGCTTCCCGCGTCTATCTATCCATGTTCCTGCTCGTATGTACTCCGAACTCTAATGTTCTCTTACTCGTTTATAGGCCTACTACTGTACAGAAGACAATACAATAACTCATAGCCCCTCCCGGCATTCTCCAGAACGAGCCACAATAACATATGCGAGGCGATATAGCTGAGCACAGGTACAGGACACAGAGCGCGCAAGGGAATTTTGGTATACCAGGTGAGTACATTCTGCTTCCGGTGTATTCATCTGGTGCTGGATTGTGTCTTCGCCCTAAATCAGAAGTACTCTCAAGTACAGCCCATCATGATTTTCCTTAATTGCCCTCATGTAGTGCCCTACAGCCTCATGTTCACCCTGGGTCTATTTCTCGTGTCACTCCGAAACACTGATTACGCGTCTTTCAGCTCCATGCTAGCTGGAAGGACCTTATCGATATGCTTTGCAGCGACCTCGCCCGGCCGCTATGACCTATTCAAGCGCCTGCGATTATCTCCCCGACAGTATTCCACTACTGAACCCTTTCGTTCCCCCCTCGCACACACGAACATTGTCATCTGGTGAAAGTGCCAGCGCATATATCCTTCCGCTTTTTCCTTTCTACGAGTCTCCGACAGAAGCCCTGTGGCGCAGTTCCACTCTCGCATCGTGCCATCCTCAGAACCGCTCGTTGTGTGCACGTTGTCGTAGAAGAAGACGAAATCCCGAATCGCCCTCTCGTGTTCTTGACACTTGTGCTTTGGAGTTGGTCCTTTGGCTCGCGCTGGGGTTGAAGCTTCCTCGAGGGTAGACTTTGCAGAATATTCAGCAAGTCATAGCCCGTTACCACAATCTGGTCGATCAATATGACTCTGCCGCGGTCGGTGATTAATTACTTGGATGAAGAAGTCGATCAGCATTCACTGGTTGGTCTACTGGTCCGTTTGGGTCGCGTGTGATTTACAAAGGGTCTTGCATCAATGCTGCTTGCGAGTAGCATTTCGACGCTTTTCGGGATCCGTCACCGATGATCACTCGTCCGTGCCGTACGAAGATGGACTCCATATCATAAGCAACTCTGATGGAGTTTTCGATGTAATCGCCACGCACGTATGTAATTCGCTCGTCGCTGACTTACTGAACTTTGTTGAGAAATACAGTACTTGTTCGAAGTCGGTTTCCGACAGTCGTGCTCAGCAGATGTGCCATAATCGTGCGGAAACACTGCACTTTCAAATCTCACGTACTCTGCAGTGGATATTGAGAGGATATCAACGAAGAAGATTGGTCTTGGTGAAGTAGTTTTAGGCTGCTACCCGCCGAACCAGTGCACTGTCATTCCAAGGTGCATACGCCTTTTGTCTAAAGGAAAAGTTTCGTTGGTACAAGATACAGGTACGCGATTCCCGCTCTATTTCATGGAATCGTTTCACTGATATGTATGGTGCAGAGATCCATTGTGCCCCAGCAAGATTTGGCCACGCACAAAGCATTGATGCCCAACTCTACACGTGAAGCAGAATGGCGCCTGCCAAATCTGCGCGATACAACCATCGATCGCTGCAAGATCTACAACCATGATGGTCAAGTTCTTGATTTTCCCCGGCTCACTGATGTGTATTTATTAGCAGCGCTCATCACTTAGCCGCCTAGTGATTGGTTGTGGTCTCCGTGGTGGACAAATCATGCGCGGGTCATTCAGGCTCAGCTAACTAATCAACACTGTAGGATTGAAGGTGACATTGATGTTTCAGGAAGATTGGTGTAAATGACGCCATCAAAATTTTGTTTGACCTGCCGATACTTGACCCCAAGCCAAACGTGCGCGAGCGCTGCATGAAAAGTACAGCAAAGTATATTGTGCTACCACTATATTCATTTGTTCTTCGCCCTGAATCAGAACTTCAGAAGTGCTCGCGAGTACGGCCGACCTTCCTTTAATTGCCTCCACGTAGTACCCCACATCGTGTGCGCCCTGTGCCCGTCCCTCGTCATCCCGACACCCTGATTATGTGTCTCTCAGTTCTACGATAGTTAGGAGGACCTTATCGACATGCGTCGCAGTGGCTATCTGGGGACATTTTTTCAATCGGAAGAGAAGCATGACAAACACAGATGTCGATGTCCATTGTAACGAGTGTGATCGGTGCCATTCATGCAGCGCTATACACTGCAAGTCAACTGCAATGTGCCCTTAACCTTGAAAACGGAGGGATTTTTCGTGTTACTGGAAATGCGAGAACTATTCCTTTCTCGTCCAGAGTCAAAGTTGCATCCTGATCGAACAGAGTTTATTTCCAGGTCAATTCTGATAAGCTCTAAGGTACACCGCAACTTAGTTTGAATATGAATAGTGTGCACGTTGATAACGAGGAAATTAGAGCAATTGTGACTCTATCATCACGCTGCCTGGCGCTCGAACTGAGCTATTCTTGCTCGCATTTGGTCTATTTCTGCTTGGTATCCTATAACCTGCAAGAATCGATGAGTGAATAGTGTAATCACTCGGAAGTCTGGAAAGAACCTCACCCGCTGTGTGTTTTCATCTGCTTTCCTCATCGCTTCCTCTGTTTGCCTCGTCACTTCTTCTGTTTGCCTCATCACTTCTTCCCTTTGCCTCGCCACTTCTTCTTTTTGCCTCGCCACTTCTTCTTTTTGCCTCGCCACTTCTTCTGCATACCTTGCCGCTTCCGCTAGTGCTTGCTCAATCTCTGCCTGACCTTGCGCCCAACCTTCCATCCTCAACTGTGAAAATAAATGGGTAAATAGTGTAACTGATTCTCGGAGGAACCTCACCTGTCGAGCTTCATCTTCCTTTGCTTTTCTCCTCTCTTCTGGCGCATTCACGATGCGCGCCCACAGGATGTGGTATTGCTCGCAAACCACCTCCACACTATGTGCCTTCTCGATCTTGAGCCCAAGATAACGAGAGCGTCCCTGGCACCGCGTTGTCTCGCGCCAATCAGGGAAGAGTTTTTTCAGTGCCTCCCAGACAGTATGAGCGTACCAATAGCATTGATGTTGGTAGAGGTCGTATAGCGGAGAATGCTTGTTGAGAGCGGACAAGAGCATGGTCACTTGAATTGCGGATGGGCGAGCGGAGGCGGAGAATTCGAGGTCAATTAGTTTCTTGTACGGGCCATAAGTGTTGTGTAGGTATGATTGAATGGCACCTTTGCTGGGGGTTGTAAAGACGGAATCGTAGGTAGAGGATGGATATACTGGTGGCGAGACTATGGATGATGACTGCCTGAGCTGTTTCGACGAGCCATTGTTGTTCTGTGTATGATCCGTACGCAGTGGCACGCGGTCTATAACCAAGATCGAGACGGCGTGCTGTTGGATGGGATGACGAAAATGGAGAAGCAAAAATTCATGCTCTTTGTCGCCGGTGCATTTGCAGTAGACCATGCGGTCAAGCTGGCACCGGGAGGAAATATCGTTGTTCAAGATAATTATCTGCCATGTTCCTACGTCGTTCTTGCTAACGCCTAGGGTGAACACGCCCTGGGCGTCGGAAGGAGTTTTCTTGAACAAACGGGAAATAGCTGCAAGGAGACCACGAATGCTGAAACGATTTGTTCCATACTTGAAGCCTTTGAAGTCCATTGCAAGTTGACAAGGGTTTGAACATGAGGCAAGCAGTGGCTTATCGTGAAGAAAGGAACGTGGTCACCCCAAAATCTTCTGCTTCTTCTGGTGGCCCCTACCTACTTTCATGTCTTCCTCCACTTCCGCTCCCTCTCTGGTCATCTCGCAGCCATCTAGTCACTAAGTACGACTCATCAGTAAACAAGTGAGAGGGCTGTGCAGGTTTGTTTGGCAAACTTTAGATCCAAACAACCGCTTTTGAGGTTAATGTATCAAGTGAAGCCGCCCGTTAGGTGTTTCCGTAGTAGAACACGTGTAAAAATATCGAGGACAGTTCTGATGCCCATGGAACACAATGTAGTCACAGAAGTCAGCTTAACACATACGAGAGAAAATAATGTGATCACTGATTGCGGCAAAATGAGTTTGATAGCCAATGCGAAAAACAAAGTTTCAACACGAAGGAAGGATACAACCTACACAAGGCATGAAAACAGCTAACACTAAGAATCATTGTGGTAGCGTCCAAAGGGGAAACATATCATATCAAGAAACCTGTTGCAGGAGCCTTCGATGCTCGAGCGTGAATCTGAGTCGTGATTGGTGTAGTAGTTGGTCACAAATCGCGATGGGGACCCGTGCAATGTTGGACCTCCAATGGCTTGCGACGATCGAGCTACGTTGACAGCCACGGCGTGTGATGGGGGTGCGTATCGAGCTACAGTGACAGCCATGGCATGCGATGGGGGTGCGTGTAATGATGGACCTCTAGTAGCTTGTGAAGATTGAGTTCCATTCATGACAATGGTGGGCGATGGCGGCCCTGCCTGTATGGAGACCACTTGCGACGATGATCTCGGCTGTGACGAGCTGGCATTTACGGGAAGAACATCGCCGGTCACCGCCAATGGCTTTGACTTGCGTACCCGCTTCATTGCAACAAATCTCTGCGAATTCCGTCTCTAGTAAGAATAAAAGTGTGCAGAAGACCAAATTGAAGCTTACCTGGAACCCGCGCACAGCATATACCTCAACGACCTCGGGACATTTCATAACTGGAGCAATGTTGGTGTCAGAGGGGTCTTTTACTCGAGAACGCATCATCCTTTTCCAGAGGTTTCGATTGTCTTTGCTATCGACATTGTCGGGGCGAGTGGGATCATCAGATGGTGGGCTCTGCGCGTCCGTGGGAGGCTCGTCTCGCTGTATGCCTTTATCCTTTCTAGCACTGAGCGGATCATTCGCGTAACTACGCTGAAAGCCGTCGCGTTGAGGTGACATTGCAGGAGAGCTGAAATAGCACTTACATCATTATTAATTTGCTTGCCTCTTCCTTCTCCCGCCTTCCCTTCTAGTACTAGTTGGTTTACTTTCATGGTTGCGAGCCCCAGGGATGACTTTGAGCGACGAGCGAAGAACTTGCGCTTCGAGCGTTCTTTTGGCACGGACTCATCTGCCGGTGGGTGAAGGCGAGAGAAGACATTCAAGAAGCGGCGAGCGGAAAACAGGTTGGGGAGTTGGGACCCAAGCGTTACCGATGGAAGAGATTGGTGCGAAGTCTACAAGTGCTCGTTGTGAGTACTTTACAGTTGCACGAGAAACACAAGTTTTACCTGAAAGAAGTTGCTGTATGGATCATCGCACCTCACATCAACGATACCATCACCGCCAGTAGCATCAGCCTGCAACAGCACTGTGAGCAAGGAAGACAGGCAGTCAAACGTGAAAGCACTAACGTCGAGACATGATGATGATGGAGAGTTGGGCCGAGTTTCCTGTTGTATGCTTTGTTTGTCACTTTGCTGAGGAAGTATGGGTGGTACAAGCTGAGGAGCTATATCTTTGACAGACCAGAGAGTGAGTTTGTTGTCAATTCCGGCATATGCTAGATGGTGCCCATCTGGAGAGAATGACACATGGTAAAGTGTATCATCCTGGCTGAATGGCTGGCCGAGTGGCTGAAGGGACTCTGTGTCCCATAGTTTGGCAGTACCGGAATAGCCCACACACGCCAGAACATTGTGTTTGGGTGAAAGTGCGACAGAATTCAAAAAATAGTCGTGCTTGAAGGAATGAAGTTGTTCCCCTGATTTACCGTCGAAAACACGTGCGAATTCGTCGGATGCGGAGTAAAGTTTTGTGCTGTCCGACGACCACACCAACGACGTCACCCAGGTTCCCTGGCCTTTGATAGGGCCGACGACACGCTTGCCGGTCTCCGAGTCCCAGATGCAAATCGTTTTATCGTACCCGCCTGATGCAATTCTGTCACCCGAAGGTGAATATGCAAGAGCACACACACGGTTCTGCTCCGTCGTGATCGGGCCCACCACGACCCTTCCATTTTCTGTTTTTCGAATCAGAATTGTTCCATCATAAGATCCGCTTGCAAGATGGTCCCCGCTGGGAGACCACGAAAGCGACCGGACCGTGTTGTTGTGACCTGTCCAACCGCCTGCGATCATCTCCCCGTCGATATTCCACCGCTGAACGCTTCCGTCATTCCTCCCGCACGCAATCGTCTTCCCGTCCGGTGAAAGTGCCAATGCATATATGCTTTTCCCGGGGTGTTTCCAGGGCATTTCGACAAGAAACCCTGTGTCGCAGTTGTACATCCGCATCGTGCCGTCTTCGGAACCGCTCACAACGTGGACATTGTCGTGCAAGAAGATGAAATTCCAAATCCTGTCCTCATGTCCTTCGAATGTTTGCTTTGGAGTTGGACTTTTGGATTCTTCTGGAGCCAAAGCTTCTTCGATAGTGGGCTTTGCAGATGATTCAGCAGTCATAGCTTGTTGCCGCAATCTGGTGGATCAATCTGACTTTGCCGCGGTTGGTAATCAATCATTGGGTGAACAAGTTCATCAGTACTCACTGATTGGTTTGCTGGTCTGTTGTTGGGGGGCAAGTTGGCAAGGTAGGCGAGTCTCATGATCTGCAGGCGACGCTAATAGTAATTGTCCATGCACAGGGTTCATGCCCCAATATGGCATTCGATCTTCTCATACCATGATTCCTATCTAATGGAAAGCCAGACAGCCGCGCTCCTTTAGTCAGCGTCACGCGTCCACAAGAGGTAAGAGGACTTCGTACACCTTTGAGTCATCAAGTGAATCGGCCAGTTCGGTTTTCTGCTACAAATACTACATATCAAAACTTTGAATTCACGTCGTTCAAGAAACGAACGCAAGGGTCTAGAACAGAAATAGAGAGCAGAAGGTATGTGTGAGCACTAGAAACTGCAGAGAATTCTGTCCATCCCAGGTCCCCAGCCTCTGCCAGCCCTCAGGGTCGGCCTCTTGAAATCTGCTCCAAGCGGCCTCTCAAGACTCACGCAAGGCTTGCCCTCGCATCGTGCAAGGGCTGACATCTCTCGGACCTCTCACACCTGCTGATCCCCTAGTGATTCTGCTCGTCCGCGTATTTTAAAATGATATTAGAACCACCTGTCGTATGTGATACTCATTACGCGTCGCGTCTCTCCCCTTTTCTCAATTACACATTCCACGTTTGCGTTATGCGCGACTCCAAAGCATGACCCCACCCGCACTTGGTATACCGCTTTGTAGATATGGTCTCACTTATTGCAGTTCAACATTGCAAACCAGATCCAGGATCCGGAGGGGACCACAAGAACAAGCCATCCCGTCCGATTCCTGCTGGTCGCATTTTTATGGATGGCGCAGCTGATATGCCCTGGGTCACGGTGATGATCCCAGGAATCAACTTCCCCGCCCGCGACTCGCACCATGGTATTGGCGCATGAGCAACACACGCAGAATTGTCATGGCACAATCCACCCCTCGAGTTTGGTTGAGTGAGTTGGCACGCAACTGCTCAGCGTGCAGATCACTAACTGCTCCCAGTTACCGGTTGTTCCTCTGGGTTCGGCAGGGCGATGGTGGAAGAGGTCCTGCATAACGGCGAGATTGCGGTCACAATTCTGCGCAAGCCTTCCGTCCTTGATGACCTCGTCGCCAAATACCCGCACACCCAGCTCCTAGTACTTCCAATGGACGTGACGAACGAGGCACAGGTCAAATCTGCCTTCGCGAAGGCCAAGGACGCCTTTGGGCACATCGATGTCATGTATAACAATGCGGGGCAGGCGTTCTATCAAGAGCTGGAGGGGACACCAATGGACCGTGCCAAGGTGCTAATGGATGTCAATTTCTGGGGTGCGGTAACGGTAAGCTTCGAGGCGATGAGATTCTTTAGAGAAGTGAACCCGAAAGGTGCTGGGGGCATACTCGTGCAAGTATCGAGCGCGGCAGCAACCACAGGGGCCCCAATGATCGGATTCTATAGCTCTACGTGAGTATGTTGGTGCTGTTTGATAAAGCGTTAGCTGAAGTATTTGGTGTTCGTAGGAAAGCAGGTAACGTTGCATCTATGGCACAGTGCCAGTGTGTGACTTTGACTCACCACTATTTAGCCTTGGATTCGTTCACCGAAGTCCTGGCACAGGAAGCTTCCCGCTTGGAATATTCGGGTGAGTAACTGGACAGTGATAGCAGCCGCAGAGCGTTGAGTACTGAGTGGTTATACAGTTTATGAATGTCCACCCAGGTTGGACGCGCACACCCATTATATCAAGTGAAATGCTCGAGCCTTCAGCACTGTATGCATCGGAACCGACAGCCGTGACGACGAAGTTTCGTGCTGGGTTTGATGCATTGATAAATACTGATCTGCTGAATTCTGTCGAGGTTGTGACAAAGCGCATTTGGTCGATGACGAGGATGGACGATGAGGACCTGCACAAGGGTATGCAGGAGGGTCTAGTGCTTCATAAGATGAAGACTTTGAAAATAGTTTCCGGAGCGTGATCACATTGTGCTGAACGACTGACTTTGAGCGCTTGAGCAACGAACTGCGGGTGAGACATTGAAATTTATGAAGACCATTCCCAAGCTGGGCATTAAATATTAAGTACTAAGTCGTGATCAAAAGTAAAAGTGTTTGTAAGCCGGCATGAGAGGTCCACTGTGGGTAGTAGTTCCAATGAAATTCACTAGGTGAAATCAGAAGATAATTCGGTGAAACTAAGAGCATTAAGAGCTGAAATAGAGGTGCTGAAATTGCCGTTTTTTACTCTGAATCCATACTCTGAATCTGTACTCTGAAAGCATACTCTGATTCTGTACTCTGAAAGCATACTCTGATTCCGTACTCTGAAAGCATACTCTGATTCCGCACTCTGAATACATACTCTGAATACATACACTGAAAATACGCTGAAGTTGTGCTGGAATCACGCTCTGAAATTCACACCAAGGTAATGAAGGAAAACACAGAATTACATTAGTTAATGGACTTATAATAAAAATAAGCACGCCGTCTAGCATAGCAAAGGGACACCAGTAACATTTTAAAGGCACAGGCTAGCAAGGAGGCCAAGATATTGGGACCGCAGAATGGCAGGAGGACGTGAAAACATCGCACAATAGAGTGGGAGACAGTTGCACTGTAAGCCACCAGTAGAGGGGGGCACGGACTCTGCAGAGGTCTGTTTGAACCTGTGTATCAAATTTAGTACCGTTAAACCAGGGGAAGAAGCTGCGATGATTGGTATACCGAAAATTTGACGCCATAAAACCCGTTAACGTTGGGACAAAGCCTGACGATGGGTGTGGAGACTCAGTAAGTCCTGAACTGACTATGGACCGTATCTTGACTCACGAGACGAGCACTTCGCCGACATGCAGACTCATTAGACTGCTTTGAACTACGTTGACGAGCTGTCGGCTGAAAAAATCCGCCCCAAAAGATATCAGCAATGACTTGCTCAGCGTAAGAACATCATCGAACGAACCTTTCGGCCTTTCTCTCGCTGAGGGGACGCCGCTGGGAGATAGTCTAACTTGGTCACTTTGTTGAGCGTGATCTTCATGAGAACATTATCAAACCCCTCGTCCTTTCCTTCCTCATCGATGGCCTGCAGCGTCTCACCAACATCGCCAGTGGCAACCATAATGTCGAAGGCCTGTTCAAGCGTGCACTGCTGCTGATCGCCAGTGAACCCTCGATCGTCAGCGATAAGTCGGGTGGCCATGAAAGGAATGAGAACAAAATAAGTGTATTGTTCAAAGGAGAGTGGAGCAAAAGTGTCAGTGGGGATGGCCTTCCGCACCGGGTCAAACAGCTTGTTGATGGTTGTACGAAAGATTATACTGCCCTTCGGACCGTAGCTACCAATAATTAACATAATGACAAAAGAGTATGTCAGTGACTTACTATCCCGGCCGCGCCTTCTTGAAAATTGGTCCGAGCTCGAATATTTTCAACCGTGCAAGAAAAGACAGTCGTTTATCAACCTCGACTCCATAGCCTTGTTCGGCAAGATCTATCAGAAGTGCCTTGTAAATGACACAACGCTCCTTTGCTTCTTTATCAATGATGAGTCGTTCAAGATCGGGTTTGAGCTTCATAGCGGAATCATAAACAGCAAAGAAGTTGATCTTCGTTAACCACCCATTAGCGCGTGCAGATTGAAGGTGTTGTTCACGTTTCAGGTCATTCTTGATGGCGATGCAGAGTTCCAATTCTAGCTTGAGCGTCTGTCGGCTGAATTCGCCGCCCGGCAGATTCAAGCAGCGTTGGTATGCTGCGGACTTCACGATGACCACTCCTGAGGGATTTTGGGACACAATATCGTCACACCCATCACTAGGACAGACAACCGCCTTGTCCGCAGCAGGAGTTGAAACCACCTAATCATCGAGTGAGATAAATGAAAATGACTGAGGTACTCTTACCTGTTGAGGTGCGGTTGCCTGTCTCTTCAGAAGAGGACCTTGAATTTCTTCAGCTTCTTCGTCTGACATCAGCAAAACCCAAATGGGGTATGTGGCACTGCATATTGCCGTACAGTGACTCAGGGTTCGCAGGAAGGTCCCCCCATGTGCAGCCGAGCCGTAGTGTGTGCTTCGGATGTGTCATGCTGTGCAGTCGGGTACAGCTGGCACAGCGCTGCACAATCCTGCACAACACTGTAGCGCTGTATGACGCTGTATAGCACAAACCTGCTATGCAGTGTCATACAGTGGTGTATGGTGTTCCATAGCACTCTTATTACACTACCAGTACTGCTAGTATAGTTTTTGTTCTTGCATGCTAGCAGCGCATTAATACGAAGCCAATGATAATTCAATTCAAAATAAAATGATAGGACTAGTAAGTAGTAGTATGTAAAACTACGCGAGATCAACATCCCACTCTGAGCTGTCGTCACCTTCGTGATCACCAAGGCCGGCGCCATGTACATTCCTAACTCGATGGTCAATATACTGCTACTGCCATGAAAAATCATGCCGAAACTTACATGCCTTCCAATGCCCAAGCTTTGAGCATTTGACGAAGTTTCGGCCCGTGATACGCGTCTTTGTTCGTGCGGTTGAACAGCGTAGAAATGCGATCGTATGAATTCTCCGAATCCTCGATAGGCGTCTGCTTGGTGCGATTCACCTGGCCATATTTACTGTAGATGCAGATGACATTGCGAATCTAGGATAAACTCAGAATCAGTGAATGCACTTCAAGTTTAAGCATACTACAGGCGCACTCACAATAGTCCCAACGAGGAAGAGCGCTGCGGGCGGGATGGTCTTCTGAAACTCGGCGAAATGCTTTAGCGATTTGGATCCATTGTCATAAAATGACTTATGGCAAACGATGCGAACTGCGTCGTTTGCAAAGTTAGATGCACGACCCTACTAGATGTTTAGAATCGAATATCAAGGACGACGAACAATGTACCTCAGAATCAGGCTCGCCATGCAAATATATTGCTTTCTTCAGCAAAGCGGTTGCCTTGAGTTTGACGCTATCAGTTGTATTCCCGTTGATGCCGAGGGCGAGTTCATATACCATCGGAACGACAGTAAGTACAATCTGTTTGATCTTGCTGCGGAATGTCGCGGCATCGTTAAAGACCTAGATCCGTGTGACTTAGTTAATGGAAATATATCTTGGTAAAAATCGGAGCACTCACCACGGTAGCCATCCCCGTTTTGAACTCAGGGTAGTAGCCTTTGTATGTGTGTCAGTGGGCAGTAACACTGTAATTAGAGAAAAGAAAATACCTTTCTCGAGTTTGCGTTTCTGTTCTTGCCACTGTACGATCGCTTCCGCGATCACTTCACCACAGACTCCGGTACCACCGATGGATTCCTCTTTGTCGGGGAATGGGACTGAAGTAGCAATATAGAGCCTGAAATTAGCCTTCGCGCGGTCAAGGAGTTTTTGCCAGAGTGATGGGTAGAACCCAACATTAGTTGCATCACGATTGGTAGCAGCACCCTTCGCGTTCTTGGTGCGGTGGCGCCTCCCACTATCGATATCGACCTCATTGAGATCCTCCAAGTTGTCCTGCTGGTCAGAGTCACGGTCATCGCTTGACTGGGAGTTTCTTGTGCGAGCACGCTTGGTCTTCGGGTGGTGGTTCCGTGCACTGCTCAAATACGTAGGGGACGGAGAACGTGGTCGACGATTTTTCGTGTGGTGAGCCTGGAGGATATCATAATCGATATTTGGCTGAAAAACAGTGTCAATACATGGCGATAGTATGGGTGAGTACTTACGACTACGGGAGCGTTCAAAAGACTCGGAACTTGTTTGTTAGTACTCTGTAGACCGGATCGCTTTGGCGCCGTCCTGCTAGTGGTGTGGTTATTCCGATCATGACGGTCCATGCCAGCCACTCCCGCGCCATCCTCATCCTCATCCTGTGAACACACGCTATGATCAGGTGCTTGCGTAGGGTGTCTTGCTTGCGTGCTGCCACGATAGGTTTGATCACCGTGATGTGGGGGGTGCATGACGGTGTCACTCCCGTAAAAATCCTCCTCGTGCTCCATAATCTCATCCAAATCATCGTCTTGCACAAAATCTCCACCCTCAAGCTCGTTATCAACGCCATCATCTTCTGCAAAATCTCTGCCCTCCTCAATGTCATCTTCATTCTCTTCAATGTCATCTTCATCCTCTTCAATGTCCGCCTCTTCATGACCTTCTTCAGTTTCAACGATGGACATATTTTGACTGACGAAGGAACCGAAAGCAGGAGGAGTGCGAGCAACGGTATGGTGGGGTGTCATGGTCGCTGATGGCTCCCGCTGAACAGCAGTGTTGAGAATAGGAATAGATGAGCCCGAGCGTTGGTTGACGACAGAATGAGAAACACTACGAGAAACAATACGAGCACCAGCAGGATGCTGGACAGCTGGAATTCTACTTTCATCAGCCTGATGGTCATGAGGAGCGCCATAAGAGGCGCCGTGAGAGACACTTCGAGAAGCACCGCGAGAAGCACCACACCGAGAAGCACCACGACGAGAAGCACCACGACGAGAAGCACCACGAGAAATACCACGAGAGACGCTGCGAGAAGCACCTTGAGAGGTACCATGATCATGGACATAGGGCCGGGCAGGAGATATCGTTAAATCAGGCTGAGGATCTGTTTGGTGGGACTGGAGTGGTTTGGAACCAACATATGTTGAGGGAACTGGATGACCCTGCAAACCAAACCTTCCCGTATCCGCGACGTGTAGAGCAGGTGTGGGACCTGCAGCACTAGGGTTTGACTCGGATGCCTCCTGCTAAATACCAAACATTAGTACCGCCGTGATGATGCAGTTTCAGGAATGAACATCAACCAAGCAGGTACTTACTATTGCACTTAAGTTTCTCCGAGTCTCAAGCTGCCGAGGAGCTTTTCCTCCCCTCTTCTTCTTTGCCACCGGAGCCATCGCATTTTCAGGTTCATCAAACGGGACAACGACGTTCTGAACCTTTGATTTTCCAGGTGCTCTGGCCGGAGTCTGAAGAGCATTTCCTATCTTCTCTAGCTGAGAATTCCTTCCTCCAGCACCAGCACCAGGTCGGTTGGAACGACGACGGGGAGGTTGGACCGACGTCACTGGTTCATTGTCGATGTCTGATTCAACGACTTGAAGCGACGGGACTCCGACTTGTTGCCCCCTCTGTCGGCCCATGGTAAGCACACGACTAGTAGGCGAGTGATGGAGAAGATGAACCTTCAAAATCAGGTTAAATAATAGTTACAGCATCCATGGGTAGGTACCAGCATGGTGCTTAATTACTAAGTGGTAGTACTACCGAATCCGAATCGTACCGACACGTTCACGAGTTACGTACTAGTACTACAGTAGCAAAGTCCAGCACTAGTACCTCCGTCCCGACTCCCTGCTCAATCTCAATGACAACTAATTGCCCTAACTGTTTGAAAGAGTTTCAGAGCGCTTGGGCTGTTTCACAACACCTGAGCCAGCCCCTTACATCCTGTCTACGATGGGTTGATCAGCTTGAGGATGCAGCGCAAATCTTGCAAGACTCACAGTTCGCGGACCAGCACGCAACTCTCGGCCCATCTGAGTCGTCATCCAACCCTCGTCATTCCAGAACACCAAGCCCTTTTCAAGTTCAAGTTGATAGTGAGGAAATGGTGCATGTTCAGGATTTGAATGACTCGGGCTATTTCTACGGTGACGAGGGAGGTGTGGTGGGCTTGGAGAGTGACCTGCCAGGGTCGGTTGAAGAGCCTTTGGGCAGCCAAGCTTCGGAGAAGCCTTACGTCGAGCGCTTCAGGAACACTGCGAAAGTGTATCGGCGCGGCCAGACCTTTTGGGACAGGTTTAATATGGATCCCTATTCAGCATATCGCAAGGACAACCTTTACTATCCATTCGCGTCCCGTCAGGACTGGGAGCTCGGCAGCTTTCTCCTGTGCTCGTCATTAAGTATGGCCGCCATAGATGAGTTCCTGGAGCTCGAATTAGTACGGCTTGAGTCAGCTGGCATGTTACCGTCACAAGTGCTGATTTCTTCGCAGATTAAAGCATTGTCTCTCTCCTTTTGTACAGCCAAGGAGTTGCGTGGTCGTGCTGAGCTGCTACCTCCTGTTCCGAAGTGGCAGTACCGCATAGTCTCAACCACTCACCCAACAAAACAGCCGCTATATTTGTACTGGCGCGATCCATTGGATTGTATCGAATCGCTTTTTAGCCACCCGTTGTTTGCTAAAGAAATAGATGTCACGCCGCAACGTGTATATCACACAGTGGAACGCACATCACGAATTTACAATGAATGGCTGACAGGTGACGCAGCATGGTCGATGCAGGTAATACATACCTGACTATCAATGGTCTCCAACTTGCTAACTCTCACATCTCATCGTAGTCACAACTTCCAGATGGTGCGACATTGTTAGGCATCATACTGTCCTCTGATAAGACCAACATCACCAACATGACTGGTGGACGTGTCGCTCACCCGCTCCTGATCAGCCTTGCCAATATCAAGATGGCAACTCGAAACAAGGCATCCTCACATGCTTTCCTCCTAACAGCGCTGCTTCCAATTGCTGAATTTCTGCATCCAGTGAAACGGATGCAGAGTGTTCTTGAAGCCCGCTTAGTCCACCAGTGTCTAGATATCGTGCTAGAGCCGCTCAAGCAAGCTGCACGCATCGGCCGGATGATGTCGGACCCACTTGGGAACCTCAGATACTGTTTCACTCCCTTAGCTTCGTACATTGTCGATACACCCGAGGCATGCATGCTCGCATGTGTCCGAGGAAAGACCTCACCGATCACTATGGCTATGTATGAAAACTTCGGAGACGCCTTCCAGCACTCCCCTCGAACAGCTAAAATGACTCTCGACCAGCTTTCGAGCATTAGTTGTGACCCCCTCGACGTCGAAGGTTACTTTAATGCATGCGCTCCATTCCGCCTGAGTGGCGTAGCCCAGCCATTCTGGCGTGATTGGTCACTTGCGGATCCGCATGTATTTTTCACTCCCGAACCCCTGCATCACTGGCACCGTGAGTTCTATGATCACGATGTTAAGTGGTGTCTTGCAGCTGTTGGCGAACAGGAACTAGACTTTCGCTTCTCCGTTTCGCAACCACTCACGACGTTCCGACACTTCAAGGATGGCATTTCCAAGCTTAAACAAGTCACTGGAAGAGCCCAACGTGATATGCAACGCTATATTGTTGCTCTCATTGCCGACGCAGCCCCCCGTAGTGTTGTGATAGCTGTTCGCGCGCTGATGGACTTTCGCTACATATCGCAAGCGACAACGATCGACGAAGCGCATTGTCAAAAGATTCTCGGTGCCCTCGAGGAATTTCACGAACACAAGCAAGAAATCATTGCTTGCGGTGCACGTCGAGGTGCAAAGAGCAAACAGGTCCTCGACAACTGGCATATACCCAAATTGGAGTTGATGCAGAGTGTCGAGCCCAGCATACGTCAAGTCGGCTCTCTCTTGCAGTGGTCTGCTGACACCACAGAGCACGCTCACATCACCCTAATCAAGGATCCCGCAGATTCCTCCAACAACATCAACTATGATGCTCAAATATGCCGGTTTCTTGATCGCCGAGAGAAATGTCGAAACTTCCAGATTGCAACATCAATAATCGCTCGTTCACAATCACAGTCACAAGCTTCTACTTCTCGAATGACGGACGCCAGTTCGGAACATCATGACGAGTCGCACGACGAAGATCCACACGCCGACAAATCAAACTTGCAGACAGGTTTGGATGATCTCTGGGGGCCGAAGCGTGTAGTGACCGATTTCTTCAAGAAGGCAGAGCAACTCTCTTCAGATATTGAAGTAGCCAGACCTCTCCGCACATTCGTGGTCGGTGCAGCAGCAATCCACCTGAATTTCGATCCTTCGATACGACGCATACCAGTCGATGTCGTCGCTGAAAAATTCTCTCTACCTGACTTGCGGGGAGCACTCGCTGACTATATTCAACGAGAGGGCATGGCTCAGAACGTCCACTCGCTGAGGGGACAACGCCGAGCATTGCCTGATGCACCTCTTCCTTTTAATGACCTTATGGTCTGGTTTAAAGTACGCGTGCAGCAGGCATCGTACCACAGCCCATCAATCACTCCTCCTGCTCTCACAGTCAACGCGCATCCTCCGAGCGCAACTTGGAAGTATGGGCGTTATGACGCTGCTATTTTCACTGTTGATGACACCGGACGTGAACAATGGCCTACTAGTGGGCTTAAAGGTATGTTTCTCAGATGTCCATTTGTATACTTGTGTCCGAGTTTGACATCCGAGCAACTTGCAGGCCATGATGTTGTTGAGGTGCACCTTATCATGCAACCGCTTCCTCCACGAGGAAAACCTGGTAGTGCCCCTTGGGCCACGCGTTTTCTTACTTATGTTCAGCGCCTAGATGTTATGCCTCAGCGTCATGGAAGCTTGCTGGAATGCACAACACAGATGCATGTTTTAAAACGTGCAATGCGATCAGCAGGGACTCCCTTCGGTGATATCCTCCCACTAGATCAACTTCGTTCTTTTGCTCAAATTATCCCCCGCTTTGGTCGTGTTGCTGATTCTCGTTTAACAGCACAAAATAGTGCTCACTTTGCTCAGACATTCTTCCTAAATAAGTACATCAACAAAGACTTCTACTATGCTATCTCAAACTAGTGTAGTCTTTTGCATTATGATTCAATGGTATGAAGATGATAGTTGATATTAATTATTGAAGCACTCTGCGCTCGATGTATGATACTATGCGTCACTGTAAGACACTGCACAATCCTAGACTGTACGAGGACCTGCTGTGTAGCGCTGTATAGCGCTACCTTACGACACGTGGCTCTCAGCTGACTAATAAACTCCAGTCATCAATGGAGATGATTGACAGGCCAACCCCCACTGGTTGTCAGCATCATACTACCTCTCTCAATGCCTGTCACCAGCAATCTCACTGGCATGGCTCTTCCAGCTCTTTATTCTAAGCTCTCACAGAGTTCAAAATCTTGGCTCTCAAGATCACCCTCAATGAATTTGATCCTCCCTCCTCAATGTGTACAACTCGAGAAAATCTCCTGTTCCTTGTATAATCATGTTCCAACGGAAACAGAACTTCAAGACAAGCAAATCCTTGAAGACCTCAAGACAGCAATAAAGACAACACTCGGGGTTCAATTTACAGACTTGGATAATCCCGAATTCTTTAAGCTTAGGTTAGTATTTCTCAGATCGCTTACTACACATTCAAATCTTCTTCCTGACCATTCATCAACACAAACTTGAAGACCATTGCGCCATTGTCCTTGAAGCACTCCAACATCCTCAACCTCATACAATTGTAGGCCGATCTACACGTTAAGTATCGTAGATTCATATTTACCGTTATCTGAGGTCATCGCCGATATCACGCCTGCAGAGTACGCGGTGGTGGTAGCATTTACATCGGAAGAGCGAGATTTTGAAGTCAGAGCAAAGTAAACACTAGAGTAGTAGCTGAGTCGTACGCGTACACTGACCACGTCTTATTTCTTACTACAGATTCGTCTACTTCGCGGATACTCAAGATATATACATCATGCCCCCCTTCCCGTCCATGAACAACCAGCTGCGCACCTTGCGAAGGCCGTGAACAAGTTCATGGAAGCCATCCCTTACGACAAGCTCCTGATCGACACCACTGTACACCTCAATCACCGCATCCAAAACAAGGATTCGACGAATATACCAGATCTACACCTTACCGTCACAGCACAACCCCCGGAGGATATAGAGTCAGATGAGATGGTGGTAGCGAAGCCGGTGTCCAAATGGGTTGGAGAATGCGGGCTTTCCTCAGATACCAACTGCATGGTGCGGAAGCTAAGCAACACATGCGACGGCCATCAAGACATTGATTACGCTTTCATCATATCCTTCAAAGAGCGAATTAAATGGCAACAACCGAAACGAAGGGGATACCACTATTCAACAACTTCGCTCAGCTCTCCCGCGCTAGATTAACGAAGACTTCATCCCATCCCGCATCAAGAAGAGCTTGAGGTTTGGGGACCGGTGGAGATCAAGTCTCACCCTGGATTGATATCAGCGAGGTCCGCTATAGCATATACAAACGTGGCACGGACGGTCACTTGATTTCAACAACAAGGATGCTTCTACTACCTTCGCAGAGGGGGTACGCTACTATGTGTTCACCTTATTAGTATCTACTAATTTTTTGGCCTCAACTCGCCCCCCACAGACCCTTTACCCCCGTGTTGCAGATGGGTGATGTTGAAACGCATGTTGGATAAACGCCGCAGATAGCTTGAAGGATTACATTGTAATCGTTGATGGAGGGTAATGGGTCTTGAGGAGAGTGCAGTTCAGAGTGCGCGTGATTCCCATCCCGTATTCGAGCCCAGTTTGGGGGCAGCCCTCAACTCTATCTCCTCCGCGATGTACCAAACATTC